GAAACACTTAGCTGATCACCTGCTGAAATCACTTGAAAGAATGCATAAAACTGTTCTTCCTACACGCTTTAACATGCTAAGCAGCAGCAACAGGTCTATTAACCCATCTAACATACATTCATTCAAGAGGATTAAAATTATTTACAGCACAGAAAAGTCGTACACTGCAGACTGAAAAGGCCTTTATCCTGCAGTGAGCGCAGCTTCTGACCGAGGAATAAATGCCACAGCAGGAACACAGAGCTCCTGTCTCCATACTGTGCATTAGAAGAGATCAAAAAGATTCCCAGCAGCCTACGTTTAAGGGACCAGCAGGTGACAGTGCATCAATCCTTCAGCTTTTGGGTCGGAGGTGGGGGAAATCCAGACCTACTGCCACATCGTGTCAGCTCTCAGTCACCACCACGGACAAGCAGTTTTGGGCAAATGTATGTGCAAAGCCTAACTTTTGAACCTAAGTTCAAAGCTCATTGAAAGGGTACAGCCCCCCGCCATCCGATGGTGTATAATCGCTAAACCTGTTTTCAGGGACTGGGTAGGCTACAGACAACTGGGACAGGCAGCCCTGGGACAGCTGTGAAGACAAAAACGTGTTTTGAAATGCTTAATGGAACTCTAACACAACTCCCATGGAGTTTTCACCTGGCTCACTACTGCTCATTCAAGCTCCCTAAAAATTTTGTCCCCGAGTCTTCCCACACTAACCAAAACCACACCAGAGAACAGGTTAACAATTCAACACCAGGTATAGCAACAAGAAGGTGCTGGAGGACCATGCTCCAGCCCTATTTTCTGGTGTAGGCAGCCAAGAAGTATGCTAAGGCTGTCTGCACCACACCTAACAGATGTTAGTTGTTGGTGCAAAGATCCTTTGGGAAAGAAGGAGTAAAGAGATCCCAAACCACTGGAACTAACATTACGCTCCACAAGAACAGCCCTTCTCTCCACTAACACACAGCACTGGTTTGGATTAACAAATTATCTTGACACTACTGTTTCAAAGCCCTTTAAAAAAAAAAAAGCTATAACCATTACTCTTCCATTCTAAGAGATGGCCACAAAACAACTGTGCTGATCACAGTAAAGCAAGCTTCCTGTGTCGCCAAGAGAGTTTTGCCTTGGTAGTCACAGGCTAAGCCGACCTCTTAGTTATGCATGCTGTGGTATGGATCCCAACTGTAAGATATTCCATGTCATTCCAGTGACACAAATGATCCATTTTCCCCAGTTTCACCAGTAAACAAGCCAAATAAGCTTGACTTAAGTGGTAAGAATATTTCTGAGGTTATGTGCATTTGACCACATTTCTCCATTGAATCACCAATTCAGACAGGAAATATGAATGATGTTTTTAGTGAGGATGTTAGCAATGCCACCGCCTTTGTGTCACTTCCATCCTCCACCAAGAAAAAAAAGTCAGAACTAAAGAAGAAAGAAACTGTTAAACTGTTCTTTACTGAAGAAGCATGAGAAACTTCAAGCTGCCCATGGAAAAAAAACACCACAACCTCAGAAGTGCAGAGAACCGGCTACTACAGCTAACACCAGTGCAGCTACAGAAACTATTGCACACCGCCAGCCCCAGAAACTCTTAAGGTGTCCAAGTGATGGAGAACATGAACTAAGCAGCCTTGTTACGCACCACATTTCCACCTGATGCTCGATTATCTGTCTGGGAAGGAAAAAAAAATATATTTGTGTCATAAAGAACTAGCATCCTTTCTCAACCGCAGGGAGTTGGTAGTTTGTAGACTGAAGCATTACACAAATTCCAGAATACAGCACCTCATCTACTATGAGACAGTGTTGAAAAAAAGCCTGGTGAAAACTAGGTCAGGCATTCTGTGTTAAAACCAAAATTCTCTCCCTGGAAGAGAAGCAGAGCAATGACACATGTATCTTTTAGCAGAGCACCCATGCAGCTGGGAAGCTGTGGCATCCTGGCACACTGCATTGGATGGACAGGTGAAACTGGCTAACATCAAAATCCATGTCTTCACAACAGCTTGCAGCAGCCAGGCCCCTGTTTCAGCAAGGCATCCAGTACAAAACGACAGTGTTGCTTGGTTTTAGCGCTCCTAAATAATTTCTGTGTTGGCTATTTCAACATCTCCCCTATCTTTCCTTGGGCAGTTACATTGCTCAGATTTGTGCCAGGGTTTTTGGAGAAGGAGGAAAAGAACAAGGCTTTTTTATTTTAGCCTGTTGAAGAAAGCCTGTTGAAGTAACGGAACAGCACAATATAGAGAAACCTGGGAGCTACTGAGTGACCTAGGACAGAGTCCAGAGCATACCTGTGCTCAGTGAGAGCTGCTCTGCATAGCCCCAGGTAAATCTTACCCAACCTGATGCCACTGCAGTGTTAGGGCACCTACAGTGAACTAGGAGTTGCAGAATACACCTGCGTACCTGTTTAAATTGCTTGTAGATCACTTTTCTAACTTCATCCGAAGGCTGAACTTTCCCAGCAAGCAGTGAAGAAAGCATGTTACCCAGGGTAACCATGCCCAGAATCACCCTGGGGAAGGAGAGAGAGAAGATAGGGCTAAGCAATACAAAAGCCTCAGGTGTTCCTGTAGATGGAAGCATCCACTCTCAGCCAGGCTGGAGAAGCCAGTCCAACTGCTTCATGGTATAAAGCAACATTATTGATGGTATACTTGAATTCTGTGTTTCTGCAGGAGACAGAGTCCAGTTCTCAGAAGTTCTGGAGACTCACACCAAAGTCAGCAGGTGCTATGGATGCCGGGCCCTTCTGAGCATCAGGCTCTTTGTACCTCTAGTTCTTGCAACTGGAGAGCTTCTTGCAATCTGAGAGTGCTTCTAAAAAGCACATCTTCATTGTTTCACACCCTCATCAGTCCTTGTGAAAGGTGTGACCGGGCCAGAGACATGCTTACCTCAATTTTGTTCATTCTCCTTCTCCCTGCAAGGATGTTGCAAGGATCTACAACAACTAATCCCTTGAGCTGGCACTGTCACTAGAGAGTAACTGAGCAACTCTTCATTATTCAGCTCGTCCTAGAGGAGACCAAGAGCGTAATGAGGCATACCAGCTTGCGGGGGACATCCTGGTTTACAGGGGTCACCGCAACACTGCACTACAATGCAGTATTCTGAAGAAACTGGGTGAAAGCGGTGGTGGAGATGGGTAGGTTTGGGGTTTGTTTGTTTTAAATATAAGGTTTTGCTTTGTCAAGTTAAACAGCTATTATAAAAAAAACCCCACACCAAACAATGAAATTATCCTGAAGAGACACACTTATTATATGTATAAGAAGCTTATTATATGAAGGGCAGGACAGTCCTGGCTTGACAACATATTACATCCAGCACTGGTGTGTTTAAGGTAATGTTTCTGAACCATGTTACTGCAACTGAAGAAAGGCAAGTGTGAGGATATCATACTTCTAGTAAACATTTAAAGGGCACATCTTGGACGCAACACATATGGATGAATAGTGATATATGTGGACATACCCAGATTCATCAACAACTGGTACCTGGTCGAATCCCTTCTCTCGAAGAATTTCAACAGTGTTTGCACAGGTAACAGTTGGAAGCACAGTCAGGGGAGCAGAGAGGCTAAGTTCCTGAACACTGATGTTCCACCACCTGGGGAAGAAATAAAACCCAAACCCATGCAAGTCTTATGGAGAGAATTGAACCAGTTGTTCATGTACAGTGGCCTTCACCACCACAGGAATGATACAAGGCTGCAAGGAGGAGTTGGGATTCGGAGAGAGTCAGCAAAGCTTCAAGGCTTTCAAGTTTTCTCCCCATTATGTGAAAGTCACTGAAGTACAAGAAGGCTTTAAGATAAAAACTCTTTTCCTCATTTCATCTACTTCCTAGGATTACAGAGTTAGTGGGAAGTACTAATCTCACAGGTTTCATTATTTGTATCTTACACAGAAAATTTTGTACTCCTACTCAAAGAGCTTGACATATTTACAGTCATTACAGGTAGCAATTTAGGGAAGATGCCCCTCCACCTATGTAGGCTTGCAGTGCTTTGCACTCGAGAACTCTGATCTTGGAAGGGTTCTCTTTTCAATATTTCTTTTCATCCCCAGTCTTTACTACTAGGAAATTAATTATATTCCCATGGATTATAAGTATCAAGGGATTTTTAAGTGAAACTCTACTTTTTCATTTCGATACAACTCTGTTCATAAAAAAATATAATCATTAAGTACCAAGTGGTCTTCTGCTGCCATGCAACTCAGAAGAAAATCAACTAATTTCAGCAGATTTGATTAATAGCTGCAATTACATCAACACAATAGCATGAAAGACTAGCTAAATCAAAGGAAGTCATGTAAATTGAAGTAAGCTTTAAATCAGCAACTGCTACAAAGTCAATTGAACAGACTCATGAAAACCTAAACGTATCTGACATGCTTACCAAGGCTTTTTCACAAGGTCTTCTTCTTTCATGAATCCCTTCTGAATCATCCATTTGTCGCTCAAGAACTTCGACCTGGAAAGCATCAGGAAGTGAAAAGCTCATTAGCAGGCTGACCATCTGACAGCAAACCTAATAGCACACAGAGGCAACTGTTTACACCTCACTAACAACTAAGGCATAATTGAAAATATGCTGCTATATGCTGGCCAAGCTTACCAGCCAGGGACACTGAGAAGAAATACTCACAGGAAGAAAAAAGGAATCCCCTAGGAAACAAAGTTTCAGCTACATCAATCCCGTGCAATACGAGAGAGATGGCCTGGAACACAGAAGTGCCAGCCTGTTCTCAGGCAAACTCTGGCCACAGTTTCTAGTCATCTAGTATTGCGTTGCATGCAACTGGAGCCAGGAAACAGCTAAACACATCATGTTTTGGGATATCTTTCAGTGCAGCAGGAGAGAAGCAGCTCAGCACAGCTCAAAGCCCTCACACTTCCAGCTCTAATCTCACCCCAACGCTGGCTGCTGCGACAGTCGTGCCACGTCCCGCTGTGGACACAGGCAGAGAGCGCAGACGGCCTTACAGGGACCCTTCCGGGAATGGCACAATACCAACGGTGCCCAGTAAAAAGAACAGGGAAAGCAAGTCTTTTCTACTCGCCACTGCTGTAAGGAGGTCCGAGGGACCGCCTCACCCTTTTCCCAGGGAGAAAACATGCAGGTTCTTACATGTAGTTCCTGATGGAGTCAGGAAGGATAACAACACAGCGCTGACCTTCCTTCAGCTCTTTGGCTGCTTTCACCGCTACAGCCATGGCACTGCCTGAGCTGCCACCTGCCAAAATGAAATCAGAGGCAAAACTGTCAAACTGTAAGTGAAATGAAAAAGAATGAAAGAAAGGAGAGACAGTAGGGGAGCCCAGGGTGAGGAAGACAGCTTCTGAAATAGGAGGAGGTCTCCCTGACCTGCACAAGGCTTCAGCCTCCCACAGACTACTCTGAGACACCCAAAGGATTCGCATCTGCTCTTACCACACAGTAGTCCTTCCTCTCGGATCAGCTTTCGTGCTAAAGCAAACGACTCCTCATCATTGCTCTTGTACCACTGGTCCACTGCCTGGGAAGGGGCAGGAAGAAACAAGGGTCTATTTAAACAAGGAGGACCAGGGAACTAAACAAGTAGTGTGAATTCAACCCACGCTTTTTGAGGTAACAGCTGCCCTACTGAGCCATGTGCCTGGGTTTCCATCCTCCAAATGCCAAGTGGGTTTTTTTTTGCCAAGGTAAGTTGATCACATTAGCTCAACAGGCTCCTTATTGAAACCTCACTGTGAGAACAAGCTGTTGTGAGACAGACACAGAGAGCATCAAACAGTTTCCTCCCCTTTTGGAGGGCTTCCCAGGGACACAGGCTCTGCTCACAACACGGTCATACCACTTTTGGGCAGGTTGGGATGGTTTGTAGAGTTTTTTGATTGCCTTTTTGTTTGTTTGTGTTTTTTTAAACCAAAAAACCACCACCAAACCCAAAAGACACAAAGAAGTACTGTGTCCTAGGAAAATGTTATCTGCTCACACAATTTCCACCTAGCATTGCAAGACAAACATGGCCAGTGCAGAAGCCTTCAGAGGACTGCTTTTGCTGATGGAAAGAACAGGGATAGTTCTGTCTGCTAGCCCTGCCCTTTCAGCTCAAAGAAAGGCTTCCCCAAGATTTTCCTCCACCTTACACCTCACTTCTGCATCCCAACAGCAGGCAAAGGGCAGTAAACCAAGAAACACGACTTACAGATCTGTCCAAGACCGTGGGGACAAAATCGTATCCAATTCCCTCCACTTCATACATTGTCTTGTCAGTCTTGTTCAGCTCTTCTGGCGTAGCAAGGATGGAGCCTTCAGGATCAACACCTACAATCTGGAGAAGCAGTTTCCGCTTTGGCTACCGTGACACACTGCTTTTGAGAACACAGCTCTTCACTCAGGAGCGCTGGCCTCGTTACAGCTGTTGGTGTCACACTGGCTGCACGCACAGCCAAGCTAACAGCAACCTAGTCTCCTATTCATTTCTTCCTGGCAACTTACACCTCCCCTGTGAGCACAGTGCTTTGCTGCTTCTGGCCCCTTGGCAACCCACCCTGTCTCCTCAAGCTGCGGACACTAAGCGAGGGGCGCCACTTGTTCTACATGGGGTTCGCCTGGTTTAAACAGAAGACAGACTTTCCCTGAGACAAGACTGTCCTCACTCACATCAGACACCATTACACTGCATTTTGTGGCAAGTTTAAGCAGGTAACTTATTTTGTTTACTGCAATCTGCCTACATAGGAAATTATCCACAATTGACACACCATACCAACTTCTGTGGGGAAATCTAACACAGCACACAGGTAAACACACAGGTTGGTGTGTGCAGGGAAGATTTCACTGGGTAAAACCTCAGCAGCTCCAGACAAGTTAGTGAAGGCATGGGCAGAGGGGAAACACAAGGCTGCAGTACACACCAGAGAATGAAGTTTCTCAGACACTCCATGAAGGGATCGGAGGGCCAGTTTTCACCTGCTGAGCCAAACCTGAACTCTGGTCACCGGTGAGACCAGAGGACGACTATTTCAGACAGTCTGACAAACTTTCTTTGCTGCTCAGAACTACCTCCTGACCAATAACATCCAAGAGCTTCCCATAGAGACCCAGGGCAGGCTTGTAAGGAAGTGGAGCAGTTTGAGGTTCACACCGCTGAAGAGAAATGCTTTAGGCTTGCCACTTACTTTGCAACTGGGACACTTCTCCTTCAGCTTTCTGGAAATGCCAGTGATAGTACCTCCTGTGCCAGCCCCAGCCACCAGCATGTCTATTTTTCCTGTTTAAAGGTGAGGAATAGAAGGCCAATGTGAAAACTCCCTCAGAATGATGGATTAAAAAACCATTTAAACTTAAATACGGACCTTCTTTAACAGAAGCAGGCAAGATAAGGCTCTTTGCTTCCCAAGAGCTGTGTAATGAGACCAACCCCGAGACCACCTTGCTCGAACCCCATTTACTTCCAACAGGTGTTTTGAAGAGTCCATCCGTGGTACTTCGGGCAGAGCTGGACATGGCCCATGCAGATTAACCTGTTGTTCTCCTGTTACTGTATTTGCCAAAGTAGATAATTTATTATTCTGCTTAGAATGAGCGGCCCACTGTATTAGTTAGTTTACTGAGTGAGTGCCAAGAGGATAAACATTCACTGAGAGAAGAACTGTTAACAGAACTACCCTCTCATTTTTGTGTGAGAAATACCGGCTTGGTCACGAGCACTCAAGAGTGGGTGCAGGTACAATAGTTCATTCTTCTGTCGCCTCCTACAGTTTCCATGGTGCATCCACAGGACAGCTTTGTTAATAAAAAAATACCTTTTAAAAAGGTCACAGATTCACACACAAACACAAGTGCATAACAGTCAAAAGAGTAACACCCCGCCAAGTGGGGGCAGAAGCTCGTAATAACTAAGCAGTGCCTGGCCTGTGAGGAAAAGTAAGTACAAACAAGAAGCCTAATGCCAGAACTCGTCTAGACTCTCAGTTTATGGGATGGCAGTTTAAGTATACTCATCGTAATTCAGACTTAAAAGTTTGTCACAAAGATGCGAAATCCTCTGAGGAACCACAGTCCCTTCTGAGGGAAGAGGAGGAAAACCCTTCACATGGTTCTCACCTTCAAATCATCTATTAAATTCCTTCTTGTTCTTATTAGAGGGTTCCATTAGGAACTCTTTTATTAAGGCAGGTCAGCAGCCTCCTATAACACATCCTTCTACCAGCTGTGGCAAATGCCCATGTGATAGGCTGCAGCACCACACTGAATGCCTCCAATAGCTCTCAAGCCAATTCCTCAACTGGGCAAGTGAGCCCAGCCAAAGCTCTCTGCTGCCACAGCTCAATCACTGCTGGTACTCCAGTCCTGCTGCCTAGAGCTAGCATGGAAGCAACCCCTGCGGAGTAAGAACTTCTTACCAGTGACAACTGCAACACAGAGCAGTTTGTGCTCCTGAGGTCTCCTGCCCGAAGGAGCTTCCAGTGTATCAGAGTATTTGGTCCGAGAATGTCAAAACACTTATTTCTCTATTTGTGATTGGAGAAAAATAACCCTATTCTTTCATGCCAGTCTACCTATGGGGTTTTTATTTTTAAAGAGAACTTAAGCATCAGTGCTTTCTCTACCTGACCACAAGCAGAGGAGTTTAAAAACCAAAGCATCCTCCTTTAATGGGAAAAAAAATGTAATTACTATGACTACCAGAATAAGGTAATTCTCTAGTGACACACAGCACACGTATGGGATTTGCTGTATCAAAATCCATGCATTTCTTATCCACCTCAGGTTGTGGTGGATACGACCCCAAGTACATCGTGCTAGAAGAGTACTAGGGACTTGCTGAAGAGGGAGTCAGCAGCAGAGCAAACATACCTTCACACTGCTGCAGGATCTCTTCAGCCGTGGTGTCGTAGTGCGACAGGGGGTTGCTGGCATTACGGTACTATATTGAAAGACAGAATAGCTGTTAGATCAGAAAGATGAAATTCACATTGTGATGCATTTCAAGAACATGAAAAACATTCTGCAGACCCCATAGCAGCTACGTACACCCTTTCCAGGTATTTCCTTACCTATTATCTGGACCTAGGCAGAATGCCTGAGGGAAGATAAAACTTTCCTAAGTGACCTAAGTTAAGAGTAGGTCTAAGGTTCCAGCACCTTCCAATTCCAAGATCAGGCCTGTTTGTGGGACAGTCTCTTTTAGGAACACGACCCTTGTACCCATTCTTCCACCCCTGACTGCCAGTTTAGTGGAAAAAACCACCCATAGGGTTTGCAGTTTCTGCAAACAGAGGCTCGTTGCTGCCCTCTAGTGACAACAAAAACTTGCTACCCTACAGCAGGGTGATGGCTCAACTACAGCTCCAGGCCAGGGACATCTCTTTCTCCAGAGGAGACACACGTAGTGTTGAACAGTCAACCAAGGACACTAAGGAACAAGGCTGCAATACCTCTTCCCATGCTATACCCGCACCTCTGACACCTCGGCTCTTACCTGGTCCAGTATGTGTGAATTGGGGATTTCGTTTTTCAGTCTCCATGCTACTCCCACGTGAGATTCTGGAGAATCAAACCTGGCAGTCGTTGGGGTCCTCACAATCTCAGCACCCAGAGCTCTCAGGACATCCACCTGTAGCAAACAGAGGTGGTCACAAAACCCCATAACACTCTTCCAGCACAGAGACTTCATTGAGATGCAGGGAAAAGAATCACCTGGCCTGCAAAAGCCTCCTTAAAGGTTCTCCTAAATCCCACCCTCACATGACTGAGCTGTGATTAAGTCCAAGTGCTTAGTACCGTTCTGTCTTATCTAAGCTTTACTTGGGAGCTAGATGTCAAATTCCTGGTTCTGTTCTAGGCCTTCAGGCCTGTAGGAGCAGTTACTACACACTGAGAAGCCTATTTCAGGCAAAACACCATCTCCTCTCATGGCAGTCACGTATGTTCTGCACTCCAACAGTGCTACAGGCCAGAATTCTACGTTTAAGTGCAAATTATGTGTATTTACCTCCTCTTTGGATAGTGGCAGGAAAGGAGGTCCTCCAGGGCCCTATGCACTATTCAACTGCTACAAGGGCAAGAAAGTTTGACACTGAGCTGAGGCAAAGCCTGTCTTCAGAGGGGAGGGAGGCCTTCAGTGCTGCGCGACACATGGCAATGGCCATGTGGTACCTCTCTCTCCAGAGCAGGGAAGAGCCTTCAAGGAATGTTGTTCTCATTTGTGCTGCTGCCTTTCAGTTAGAACACTGGAATTGTTTGAATTGAAATAAAGAGTTTTGCTGACATCAATCTACTGCCTCAGCTGTCAGCCACAGGGGCTCTGCACCTCTACTCTCTACTTCTGGCTGTAGGTGCAGCACCACAGGACAAGGCTTGCTCTAGAGGTTTTGTGCTTCCCACCATGAAGGTAAGTGGACATTACCCAGGTGGCTTTTCCTTCCCTTTTGTTGTTGTGGTGACAGAACTCAGATGCTTGCCAGTACCCCCCGTGTAACTTGAGAAGCTCAAACAGGCTCCCTCACAGCCGTGCTTATCCCAGTGCAGAACAGAATATTCAAAGCTTCAGCATCACCTTCCTGCATCCTCCTTTGCTCAGTGAGGGACAGCTAACCCAGGGATATGTAGTGTGCTAGGTAAATCTCAAGGTCCCTTGACATTTGTGTTTAAAACAGTTACAACAGTTTGCCAAGTGACGGTGCTATGGGGATGGGTCTTAAACACATTTCTGTCCGTAGCCAGCCAGCCTGGATTTCTCTGGGCACTGGCAAGAGCACCTCAGCAGTGTTCTGCCTGCCCAATGACCTAGAGACCAAGAGCCTACACCTTCATTGCTAAAGCCACAGCACTCATCTGCACCAGGAACTCTGCAAGTGCAAACATGCTTATTTTTAAATTCTTGAAAATAAAAGCAGAACTGACCTTCTCCATGCTCATTTTCTCTGGCATCACAATGATACAGCGGTAACCCTTCACTGCAGCAGCCAAGGCCAGCCCAATTCCTGGAAGCAAGCAAAGACACGCAGAGCATACAGTGAGGAGCAGCAAAGAACAAAACCCATAATGCTAGCTTTGGCATGCGCTGGCTTTAATCAGATTTTCATCAGAGGCTTGAGTACAGCGTCTCTAGAGGGGTAGCAAAGGGAAAGTTTCTGGCTACTGGGGTGAACTGGATTTACAAATGCTGCTAGCTCTTTGAGGATCACAAAGAAAATTTAGCCAATGGTGGGGAAACTTGAGATGTACAAACTTCTACCCTTACCAGATGCACATCACCTTCCTCCTGTTGCACCCACTTCATTTTTACAGAAGTAATTTGGGAAAGGAATAAGCTTTAAGCTAAAGAAGACTAGATCAGTCATTTTGATACTGTCAGAAGAGCATTTGAGCCTCTACTGACTCAATTCTGCATTAAATCCCTAGTTTTGGAATGTGCAGAAACTAATTCCTTTCTAAAAAGACATGATCAAATGCTGTTTGTGATTGAGATTCTAATGCACTATGTCAACTTGCTACCGTGGTGAAGCACTGTGTTAGAGACAGACATCTTATGTCTACTTTAAAAATCTGCATGTCCAGCCTGATTTCTGCCTTCCACCTTGTCACTGTCTGTGTAACTGAAGAGCTAAGCTCAAAACGTGCCTTCCCCACAGAAGAGCAGCTTACACCTGTTATCAGATCGCTTCTCTGCTGGATAAGCTAAACAGATCAAGTCAGACGATTTGTGTCTGAGGTCAGACTGGATGGCACCTCCCCTGCTCTTCTGGGTACCGACACGTGCCCGTGACAATGCCTCGCAGGCAGTTTACCCTACCCAGTGACTTGCTTCTGGCTCTGCTTCTACAGGGAGCTGGGTTGCGGAGGGGTGGGAAGCTAACTGTTCCTGCAAGAGGAGCGTAACTCGCGCCTCAAGTAATTCAAGTAGTATTTAAATACTTGTGGGGCAGGAAGGGGGAACCAAAACTTTTCCAAGTATACTATAAATATGGATGCCCAAATAAAATAAAACCAGAAGACAGCAAAGGCCTCACAAAGGCCAGAGACTGAAAAGAGCCATCCAGCACTCTCCCTTATGGTCTGCGATGCAGAAAGCATTTTGAGACCTGAACGCCAACGCTTTGTACTTTCTGCTAGTGACTTGGAAATGCAGCAAACATCAAACCAGGACTTTGGCTGAGGGAAAGCGGGATGCAGAGATGACAAATATAACACATTAGCTCTCACATTTAACATACCCAGGAGCTCTGAGCAGTAGCCTTAAAGCAAATGCCATCTCTCTCAGGTTACTCTCTGCACTAGTCTTTGCTTTTACATGAAAAGGGACAGCTTTCTGAACTACATTGCCCTGTGTCTCCTTCAGTTCTGCCTTCTTCCTATCTTTTGGACTCTGTGGCAAGGAGAACTGTTTATCAGGTACTGACCCAGGAAGCAGGATGCCACAGTATGACCTCAGATAGTGGAGAAATGCAACATATATGGCTATTTTCCACTACATGCCCTTGTTCAGGCAAGAGGTATTGCCAGAGTCACAAGGGCTTCCAGGTGCATGCACACACACACCCCAGAGCAGCTGCTGAGCAAACAGCAGCAGGTATGACTTCCCAGTTTTCTGAGGAAGGCAGAGGAACCGCTCACAGATCAGCTCATCATCCCAGTTCCTCCATTAACAAAGGCTGGACTGGATCAAAAGACCAAAAGAAAGATCTACCTGGCCTGTGTCTATCAGCAGGTAACAGTAGATGCCCAGAAAAGAGTTTAAGAACAGGACAAGACACCTCTCCAGAACACATCAGCCAGGAGAGTAGCTTGTAGCTCTTGTGGCTCAGCTCAGGAACCTCCTCAGACGATACAGTGTATTTTATATTTAACCAGCTCAAGGTGGAGCATTCCAGGTATGCTTATTCCCAACCAGTAGAGCAGCTTAACAGAAGTACAACAGATTTTATACAGGAGCCCAGCATTAACTCCACTCTGCTTGGATCATCAGATGCTCTGCCCTAGCCTCTGATTAGCAGGACTGTTCCTTCCTCCATCCCTCCAAGAAGGACACACTGACCCAAGTGGAATCTGTTGAAAACCTAGGTGTGCAAGGTCTATGTGAACAGGTTATGCTGTGAGGATGCAGCTCATTTCCCATGTCAACTGAACAAACACGGGAAAAGGCTGTTCCTCAAACCATGCCCACCTCACCTGACAGAGGGGCTATGGGATTTCCCAAACAGAAGGGAAGATCCATATTCACAACAGTCTTTTGGGGCCTTTTTCCCCAATAATTTCAGTCAGACTTCTATTCCTGAATAGGACTTAAAGATCCTAATAAATCTGGCCTAACACTTCTCTTGAAGCAAAGGGCCCTGCAAATTTAGCAGACCTCCTTCCCAGCCATTCTGTCCAGCACAGTACACTGCAGAATTGTTCCTTGTGCGAGACGGAAAAGGAACTGCTCCCTACACCATGCAGGCAGGAAGGTATGCCCTTTCTTCCTTGCACAGGAAGCTGCCATACGCCAATCTCAAGTCTGTCTCTTCCAGAAAAACCATCACAGCATTTTTCCTCCATACTTTGCTAGGGTCTCTCCAACCCCTACCTGTGTTTCCAGAGGTTGGCTCTATGATGGTGTCCCCAGGCTTCAAGATTCCAGCTTTCTCAGCATCCTCCACCATCCTCAGGCTGATGCGGTCCTTGACACTGCCTCCAGCATTGAAGAACTCGCATTTTGCCACTAGAAACAGAGAAACCAAGCAGAGTTCTTCAAAAGCAGTCATTGGCTAAACAGGCTGCTGATCCCCAACATACCTGCACGAGCAGCTCTGTTAACGTCTGCCCAGTCGGCCTCCCTACTTTACAACACCAGAGATGGGGATTCAGTTTGCTGCATCTCCACTGTTACGGGTCACAGCAGCAAAGCAAGTTCACTACTTGATGCTGGCCACAGAAGCCAGGAACCCATACTCTGTCAGTCTCCCCAAAATACATCCTCTCCTTTCATCTTCCCTCTTTTTTACAGCCCAGTCATCAGGATAAAAAGCCGCGGGGCTCTTCCAGTGCAACAGCACAGGGGAAGAGAACTCTACCAACACACCTTGCCTCCTCCCTGCTGCATTCTCCATCCACAGAGTTTCTGATCGAACTAGAAGCTTCTCCCCTTGTTCAGCCTACACTTTCACTTCAGTACTCCCAGCGTTAATCCCTTCAGTGGTGTTAAACATCACCAATATGGTTGGGTATAAAAACAAACAAACAAAACATTCACTAACAGTTTCATCCCTTTTGTTGTTTTCAATGATCTTTAGTGGTAACTGCACATCTGCATTTTACACACGCTGGTGAATATTCCGAATATGAGGCAGTCAGAAACTTCATACAGCTTTAAAGTTGAAAAATTATCTTCTATAAAAAAAGGTTTTACTTTGCCTACAGAAATGCAAAAGCTGCAGGAAACATCCTTATGAAGTACAAATTGAAAGATGTTTTTAGGTGACCAAATCCTAAAAACCCAAAAATCAGCTGAAGAAGAGAGTAATTTTTCTCACCATTTTCTGTGGAGTACCCATGCTCCTCCTACGCCCAGGCTACATGACACTACTAACCACGGCTACCCAAGTTTCTGAAACAGTTTCTTATTTTGATTTTTGTGCCTGCAGCAGTACTCACAGAGTTCACACTTGAGCCCATACTGCTTCCCAATCTTGTTGATTCGCACCAAGGGTGTATTGCCAACTTTATTCAGGATGCTTGGCAGGATTTTCAGAGGCTCTGGCCTGGTACACATACAAAAAAAAAAAATCAGTGTGTTCACAGAAGGGGCCACAGGCAGCTCACACAAAAGCAACACAGCATTTCCAAGGCTTTTTATTTCAGCCAGCTTTCTCCTTCCCCTTTACCAGGCTAGTTATTTTAGACATTTTAGTTTAAAAGAACTGGATACAAATTCACAAAACATCAAGTCCTTGATCCAAACCAAGGTTTAATCAGATACCAAGCCAAGTGCTGAGGCAAGAATGAAGTGCTCTGCACTTCCTCCTGGCATGAAGTGGCTTAGCACTGCTCAGAGTCAGCTATTTTACAAGCAAAAGGCAGTAGCAGTGTGATCTCTCATCCAGTCAGGGAGCTGCTTGCCAGGTTACTTAAAATAAGCTCATTCCAGTCTACATGGTTTCACATCTCCGGTGCAAAGCCCCTTGCATACTTAACCCGGGATCTGAGCTTTGCTTGCACACAGAAATTAAGAAGCAGCAGCATATCTACATGCTAAACAGCATCAATTTAAATCAGTCATCTTTTGTTAAATTCACTTGGCTCTGAGGGGACCTGGATTAGTGCTATTCTGGAAATCAGCAAATAAAAGTAATACTTACAGAGTGGTATGGCGATGGGGGGAAGCAGAGAGGGGTTTCCCAAGCTTCCACGTGCATTTGCTAGGCGTATCGGGGCGGATCCACTCCCTTTCCTTCTCATTAGCCTTACAATTCTCATTGTCCACCCCACCAGGGAGGAAACACTTGCCAGGGGCATGAGGGCACGAGTTCGTATCTGGCTTCTCCTGGGAAGGAATTTTAGGCATTTCATCCTTGGGGGAGAGGAAAAAAAAAAAGGGGGGGGGGGGTGTGTGTAGGAGGGAGAGAGCAATTCGTATGCCCTGCTGTAACAAGGTCAAAGCAACTTTTAAGACTATGAAAGTTACTCAAGTTCTGCACCATGGGAAACTACCCATTCACATCACTATCCTCCCTAAAACCAGCTAAAAATCGTGTTACTCCTAAGGAGCCCTTATTTTTGTCTCTGTCCCTTCACCAACACATCTATTTCCGGCCTAGTGTTTCAGCATGCAGTTTTTCTGAAGGAAGCCTGAACAGAAACGCCCCCAGTGGCAATTTTCCAGAGAACAGTATTGCCTATAAGCCAAAAGGGACAATGGCAACAAGTAGCTTTTAACATCCCAAGGTCAGGTTCTGCCACTGACTACAGAAGATCTGTCTGTCATTGTACCCAAGACCCAGGTATCAGGGGAGAGAGCACAGTCTGTCTGATAGACAAACCCCATCCTCAAGTGTCCTAGTCTTGGTTTTCCCTTCTATGAAAAAGGTCACAACAAACAGGTATTTTAATGTTCCATTGATGTTTCCACAGTACTGTGAAGTTGGGAAAGCATTTCAGCATAATTTTGATTTGCCAAATCCTTATTACCAAAACTAGGACCTTGCACTGCGATGCTGAGCGCAAAGCTCAATACGGTGCCCTACACAAAGATAACATGAACACACTGAAGCATGTGCTTACTGTAAATAGCCTCCATAAGCATCAAGAAAACAGGACTAACCTCATGGCAGACACCCCTCCCACACCAAAAAAACCCAGCTCTCTGAAATAAAACCTCTCCATTCCAAGCAGAGAGGAACAGAGTACTACTGGGTGACTGATTAGAAAACGGTGCCAAGATACTCTGCACTGCTACTTGTGGTCATGAGGGAGTCACTTCCAGGAAGGTTGCTGGTTTCAAAAGCGCCCACCTCCACAGCATTCCCACAGAAAACCTAGAATAGGGCTTTCCCAAATACTGGTGGCAGAGAAACAGGCAAACAGTATTCCCCAAAGCCCAGCGGGTACCTTAGACACAGAAACAGGTCTTTCCGATATCAGCTTCTCCATGTTCTTTGGTGAAGGTGATGGCACAGTAAAGAGGGCTTTCTTCAGGAGACAGAGTACTGTGGGTCACACGACTGGGATCCTCTTCAAACCTGCAGGTCACGCAGGGTAGAAAAACACACTATCAGGAAACTGTCTCCCGTAAGGGCAAGCCATCCCATTTTCACACAGTCAAAAAAAAAAAAAAGCTACAACACAAAGTGAAGATGACTTGTATAAATAGGATTTAAAAAAATCATGCAGCAGAGGTATCGCACAAGACCAGTGGAGGGTCTGCTGATCCTGTTCTTCCCTCATTACCTAGTCTTCCCTCTGCCCTTGCCCTCCACAGCTCAGATGCAGTAAAGTAAGCAGAAAACATCTCTATTGGACTGCCTGCAATTCCACAAGCTTGAAAGCCACACACAGTAATCAAAAATGCTCCAGTTCACAGGATATAGTACTTCTACAGACACCAAAAAGAGCTTCATGGGGCCATCACCAAAAGGCCCTGTACACAATGTAGGAAACAGCTTTATACAGGAACGCTTGCTGAGGCCTCTCTACCCTTGGGGAGACCAAAAATCTTACATGTTCCTACCCAAACTGAGTTAGCGTTGCATGCACAACTGTAGTGATGCTGGATATAACACACAGAGCAAACACTTCATCCATAAGGAAGCCTTCTAGCAGGCTTTATGTTTCAGAAATTAGTAAATATAAAAATGAAGCAGTAAGTTCATTTCTCCTACTCCAGCCAGTTGCTCTTGCCCACTTCCTTTTCACTGAAGAAAAAAAATCTGGCTGAAGTCTTGGAAAGCATTTGGGGGTTTTTCCTAATATTTGGTTTTCTCATCACCATTTTGCAGCAAGATTCAAGCTCTTCCCATTACTGAACTGTGCTAGGCCTGGAAAGGGTCCCTGGCCTCATCCTCCTCCTGACAAATGCACACAAAACAGACACAGCTTAGATCAGGCAGAGCTGATGGTCTCGTGACGCACCGGAAAAAAAACCTGAATCACAGGATCAGTGAGCTTTAGCATTTGATGCTGCAAGTTAACATGCACCACTAAACGCTACTGCCACACACACACCAATTCCTTTCTTGCAGGCTGGTTTGAAGAAAGTGCCCAAGGCATTTAAACTGCCCTCCTTCAGGAAAAAAGTCTCCCTAATTGCCAACTTTCCAGACTAAGGCTTAAAATAATTCTCCTTCTGGATATAAAGACTTACATGCCACCAAAATTATACAATTCTGCTTTATTTATGTTAATATTTGCCCAAAAGCCAAGATGGACTATATCCTGGCCTAGACTACTGACCAGGGCTAGACTGAGAGACCCCAGTCCAAGAAAGCTAATACCTCATAAATACACATAATCTAACACCAACCAGTCTTTGTTACCAGAAATTAACTTACTTCCAGTTCCACAATGAAACTCCGCCTTCACTTCCATTTCTAGAAGGTTCACAGTTCAGAACATCAGCACTTTCTTTAGTAAAGAAAGAATACTGAAGAAGTTTCAAGTCCTTCTATAAAGCCACATCCACATATTCCTTCAGACAGCTGGCAGGCAACATCGGACATAGACACCAGCTGCCTCTGCTCACAGGTAACACTGACAATATATACAGAGTCCATCTAAAAGGGTACCTTGCTGCCAAAGGATCAAACCGTTTCAACATACGGCAGCAAAGCAGCAAGGGGTTATAGACAGGAAACAGAATATTTTGTTCATCTTCTAGGTTCTCATAAGACAGGTGTGCAAAACCTTTAAAAGCTTTAAATCACCAACCCTCAATGTCCTTCGAGAGGGTCCAAAAACTGAGGAGAAAGGGGGAGAAATTTGTCGCAGCCGAAGTTTCAGAGGTTTCGAATATAAGTACGTGTTCTTTGTATTGACAGCAGGAAAAAAAAAGAATGTGTCTTTTCAAAAGCCCAATTTGGGGAGAATCCGCCAAAAGGCAGAAAGACAACACCATCTCATTTACTCCACTGTAAGGCAAAAAAAAAAAAAAAAAATCCACAATTCACTAAGCAACACTCACAGCCTCTTGAACTAGAAAGAGCTGAAATGGAGGAAAAGCTGTATTTATTACCTTCAGCTAAGCTGTGAGATTCTCTCATATGTTTAAAATGGTGATACTCTGACCCTTCAATCAAAGCTTCAGTAATGGGCCTAGAACTCTGAACACAAGTGAGGCTAGAGAGACAAAGCTAACCACAATCATTGCCAACAAAAATCCTGTCACCAAATACTAACCTTCAGCAGCATCATTCATTGAAAGGAACACAAGCTCCTGCTCCATAAATCCCTTCAAATCATTTTGTTAGGCATTATTTTAAATAACCTCACAGCCACCCAGCCCAAAGTAGACAGGTATGTGTATATGCATTTATAAAGTCAAATTCTAATCATGCCAGCAGAGAATCAGCCTCAACTACGGTCAACCTCATATTCCAGGGTTTTGAAGAAAGACAAAATCCAAGGACAGATGTGGTTGCTCTCCTAGAGAGGTTCTTAATACAGCACTCACAGGAGACATAAGCATCTGTGGTAGCTTACTGCTATACCAAAGAAACAGGTCAAGAGCCCAAGAGTGACTTGTCCTATTCAGAACCAACAGATCTCAGAGCTCCTTCAGTGCTACTGATCAGCTTCCCGACACACCACACAAAACATCCAGCTAGCGCTTCCAGCCCTAGATGATGCAACTTCAGCAAAAGAAAGGGCAGAGGTGGTCAGCCTAGGACATCCAAATTCCTCCCAAAACCTATGATCCTGCCTACAAGCTCAAATCAAGCCATAGGAAGCTGGTGCATCTTTCTACTAGGGATATCTCTGGGGGAAAGGGGGTAAGCAGAAATTGCCAAAACAGAGGACAATTGCAATTTTTTCCACTAGCCTGACCCTCTTAATCTTTCTTCTGGGAATGCAGACTAGGGAGACAGGGCAGGAGAATGGTGACTACTGCTCCAACTGCAACTGAATGCGGCTCAGAAGCCTGAGGGAGGTAAGCTGCAGGAAGAGTTGCCCATTTTCAGGAAAGAAATTCTGTCAGCCCGACTTTAAGTTTGCTGTAAAAGGGAACGCTCCCAGAACTAGCTGGGGGTGTGGGTAGAGACTAACTAGAAAAGCCTGACTAACTTCTGCCATTATAACTGCAGAGTACACAAGGCAGAAAAATCAGAAAGACAATTTACAAAGTCACACCTAAGTCACGAAGGGGATTGAGACATCGGCAGAGGCAGGAGATCCAGAAACTCCCATGGGCAAGGCTCACATCTCTGGATCCATCTTCAGAGGGAACTTAAGACCTAAACTATTTCTCAACTCACACAGAAAGCCAGCAAGTAAAATTAATCCCCAACCAGACTGAGCTGAACTCACTCCATAGATATGTTAGGAGCTACAGTTTCTAAGGCTGTTTACAGTATACGATGTCAGCACTAATGCAGACGTTTAAGGAGTATCATGTATGCGAGAAGCTAATTAACTTGAGTCTTGGCTGAAGCAGAAATGAAGCTGTCTAAAAGGCAGGTGTAGGAGGTGGATCAGAGAGAGATGCCCTAAGGGCTGACTACTCCGTCAGAGACGATATACAGGATTTCATTATGCTGCAGCCTGAGAACGGGAAACTAGGACATTAAGTACTTTACTGCCTGAACAGCAAACCACTACAAACCAGTTCTGCTCACTCTGAGTATCACGGGGTCTTAGAGAGCTTTAGGATCTTTACAGGTTAACAGATGTAGCAGCACCTCCAGCCTTTAGAAGCTGTTCTGAAACACCACAGCTACAAGTGATTCAGGAGACAGCCAGCCATCTGGTTTTTGTTTACTATTCCCCCTCCACAACCCCCCATTACCTCCTCAGCAGCAGCCAGCCAGCGCTTCTGTGTCAGGAGACATCGAGCGACCTGAAGTAACTGGGGTATGAATTAACAATACTGTGGCTCTAGGGAGAAATATTCTGAGAATTGACTCAACCGTTTTCCCAGTACAGAGGGGATGAGCACACACGTGCATCCTCTCAGTGATCACTCTTCCTTTCAAGGCCAGACTGGCATACTCATCATAAGCCTCCTCACAAGAAATGAGTAATTCTTTAATACCTCTGTAACACTGCAGAGGTGTTAAAATTTCAACAGCAAAGCACCTTTCACTGCTATGACAATTTTTATGCTACAGATGAGCCAGTGAAGACGCGAGCAGTCAGACCGCCTTACCCCACAGAAGGGGAGATGGAGCTCTGCTCTAGATTTCTGACCAGGTCTATAAAACAGGTAAAAGCACAGGTCCCCTTACTCATCTTCTGTTAGCACAGGGAGCTCTGACAAAGGCTGGCAGAGAACCGCTGGTCACCACTGCCTAGGCAGGATGCCAGCTTTTTGGCTGACGTATGTTTTGTGGGAAAGACCAGCTGCCACCCACCCTGGCTACATCCATAGAGCTTTGGGCAGGCATCCACAGTCCAACCACGGGCATGGTACACCCTGCTGCCTGCCTAGCTCCTATGGATCTCACATGCAGGCAGCGGGCACATGCCAAGAGCCAGAGGCCAGCCTGTCCCAGCCGTCCTGGCAGCCTGCTAAGCTGCCAGTGCCAGGTTAGTGAGCCAGCATGCATGCTCCTGGCCATGGGGCCCCGTGACCCTTGCTACCATCCACAGTTTCTAGAAGCACTGCTCTGGCTTCAGGAAAACAGGCTGGTTAACTCACACAGAGGGTCATGACAGCATACTGAAGAGTCCCCAGCCAGCATCAAGAAGGATGACTTGTCCAAACCCCCCAAGTGCTAGGCCTAACCTAACACCTAAAGTGTGCTTCCTCAGTAGTAATCTCACTACAGCCATTTCCCTGATGAGAAATGCCAGGTTCTTAGCAGGTCTCATCTTCCCAGGAAATACCTTTCCTCCTCTGACACAAAATCCCCAGATTTTACCTATCTCCATACTCTTTACGTTTTCCCTCCTTCCTGCAGCACAGGTTTTGCAGAACACAGAGCTCTCATGCCTCAACT